CAGAAGCCCCAAGGAAAAAGCCAGCTGCAGACTCCAAGCAAGGCCCCAGACCATTCCTCGATGCCCCGAAGCCCCTCAATAGAGACTCCGATGGTTGCCAAGGAGCTCCCAAGAGACAGAGAGCCTCCAGCCCCAGCACCTTCGCGGTTTCTTGTTCCCCATCAGGCCCAAAGAAAACCCCGAGCTCCAAACAAGGCCCCAGAAAACCCTTCTCGCTGTTGTCCTCTCTTCTCTCCTGCTTCTCCTCCTCCTCCTCTTCTGGGTGCGTCCACACCCCTCTCTCTGGTGCCGTTCTCCTTCTCCTTTTGCTCGCGTTTCTTCCTCTCACCCTCTCTTCCTCTCCTCCCTGCACTGATCAGCAAGCCTCGGACCCCCCTCCCCCACTCCAGACGATAAGGGGTGACAGGGAGGACCTCCACGACCGTAGCTGCAATGAAAGCCCCAGACCCCCAACAAGGCCCCAGCAAGCTTCTCTCCTCGTTCTCCTCTTTTCTCTTCCTCCTCCCTCTCCTCCGCCCCCTCCCCCTCCCCCTCCCCCTCCCGCCTCCTCCTCCTCTCCTCCTCCTCCTCCTCCTCCTCCTCCTCCTCCTCCTCCTCCTCCTCCTCCCCTTCCTCCTCCTCCTCCTCCTCCTCCTCCTCCTCCTCCTCCCTCCTCACTCCTCCTCCTCCTCTGCCTGTGGGGCCTCCCCCACCGCTCTCTGGTGCCGCTCTCCTTTTCCATGTTCTGCTTGCCTTCCTTCTCGTTTCTGCTCGACACTTGGACTTGCCCGCCGTGGATTTTCCACGGGTGCACACAAGTCAGCTACAGCGCTGGTATCAGCGCGTGCGGCAAAGGCGAGCAGTGGCAGCGAGCATTGGCACTGCTTAGCGATATGAGGGAGGAGCAGTTGGAGCCCAACGTCATTAGCTACAGCGCTGGTATCAGCGCGTGCGAGAAGGGCGAGCAGTGGCAGCGGGCCTTGGCGCTGCTCAGCGGTATGCGGGAGGCGGGACTGGAGCCCGACGTCATTCCCCAATCAGAGCTTGCCTCTATGGGCCCAGGCGGATTCATGTGGCTAGGTGAGGGGGTGGCGCCGATTTCGGCGGCACGGGTCCAGGTGCCCGGGTGCCCAGGTACCCGGGTGTCCAGGTGCCCGGGTGCCTGGGTGCACGGGTGCCCAGTAGCCCTATAGCCCCACAGCCCTATAGCCTTAGAGTTATATAGCCCTATAGCCCAATAGCCCTATAGCCCTATAGCCCCATAGCCTTATAGCCTTATAGCCTGATAACCATGTAGCCCGGTAGCCCTATAGCTCTATAGCCCCATAGACCTATAGCCCTATAGCCCTATATACGTATAGCCCTATAGCCCTAATAGCCCTATTGCCCTAATAGCCCTATAGCTCTAATAGCCCTAATAGCTCTACAGCCCTACAGCCCAATAGCCCTATAGCCCTATAGCCCTATAGCCTTATAGTCCTACAGCCCTATAGCCCAATAGCCCTAGAGCCCTATAGCCCCATAGCCCTATAGTCCCATAGCCTTGTAGACCTATAACCCTATAGCCCTAACTATATCACGGTTGCTTTTTCCTGTAGTATCATCAGTACTATGATTCTGGGCGTTGCGCGTGCGACAAAGGCTTCAGTAAAGACGCTGCCCCCGATCGCCCGAAACGTCCTGTAGCGGCCAGGAGCACCTGGAGCGCTCTCAGGGCCCCTGGGGCCTCCCAAGAGGGCCCCCGTAGCTGCACAGGAGGGCCCACGCTGGGCTCCCAGGCGGCTCCAGCCCCAGCCCCTGGCCCCAAGATGACCCAATAGGCCCCCGGGACGGCCCACGGGGGCCCAGGACGACCCCGACGACAGCCCCACGAGTCTAAAAAACAGCGTTCTCCCCATGACGGGCCCGGAGCGGCCCCACTCGACCCCTGGCCTCCAAGGAGGAGGAGGAGGAGGAGGAGGAGGAGGAGGAGGAGGAGGAGGACGAGGAGGAGGAGGAGGAGGAGGAGGAGGAGGAGGAGGAGGAGGAGGAGGAGGAGGAGGAGGAGGAGGAGGAGGAGGAGGGAGGCGGGCTGGTGCCCGTCCGTTTCGTGCGCTCCCTACGTTTGGAGGCATTCCGTTTTCCGTTTCGAGCCCGGCGAAACGGAGGGAGGCGGCGGGGAGTCTTCGCGAAACGGAGGAGGTGTGGGTAGGAGGATGCTGCGCTCCCTCGACCCGAGAGGTCCTCACGAGCCCACGAAGACGGCCCACGAGGGCCCCAGGACGGCCCAGCACAGGCCACGGGGAGCCTCAATATACTCCACCTGGCCCCCCGGGAGGGCGCCGGGAGCTGCCGCCTGGACGGCCTACGAGGGCCCAGGAGGGCCCCAATTCGGGGGCGGCAAAGAGGGGGGTGATGACTAGGGGGGGGGATATCATGGCGTGGGCCATGATATTTCCTCAGATTTCATGGCGCCTCTTCTTGTTTCGTTACGTCCCTGGCCCCCCCGCTGGGCCGCGCACATGCCGCCGGTCATGATTTGCACCCCCCCCCTCTTGGACACCCCCCTCTTGGCCGCTCCCGACCAATAGCAGCCTCACGAGGTCAAATAACAGGTAAAAGCCATGCATGTGCCACGGTTTCCCCGTTCCCCCCCACGACGGGCCCAGAGCGGCCCCACGCGGCTCCAGGTCCTCCCAACATCGCACCGAGGTGGCCCGAGAAGCCCGCACGGGCCCAACGCGACGGCCAACGAGGGCCCCAAGACGGCCCAGAATAGGCCCCGGAGAGCCTGGCAGATCTTCCCTCCCTCCCTCCCTCCCTCCTCCTCGCTCCCTCCTCTCTGCCCCCAAGACGCCCCAGGAGCTGCCCAGGAGCCGCCCCAGCAAGATTCCCAGACGGTCCCAGACCCTGGCCCCGAGCTTGCCCCAGAGGCCCCCGGGACGGCCCAGGTGGGCCCGCGAGGGACTCCGAAGGCGGCCCATATGTGACAACAAAAAGAAAGTACTGATCTTGTCTTTTCGAATGGTCTTGCGCATCTCCCAGTGACAAGCCCAGATGGGCCCCGCGCAGCTCCAGGCACGTCTGCGATTCTCCAAGACTGCCCTTGAGGCCCCGACGAGCGCGCCAGGACGGCCCACGAGGGCCCCCCCCTCCCATGACTGGCCCCATACTCCTCCTCCTCCTCCTCCTCCTCCTCCTCCTCCTCCTCCTCCTCCTCCTCCTCCTCCTGATAGAGCTTCAGCTGGCCCCGCGACACGCTCTCGGAGCGGCCCAAGAGGGCCCCCACTTCAACCGAGCTCCAACATGGCTCTTCGACAGCCGTGGAGGCCCCCCCGGGACGGCCCCAGAGTGCCCAGCTGTGGCCCAAGGGGGCCGCTTAGTGGCCCAAGAGGGCTCTACGAGCTGTTGCAGACAGTGGGGCCCCAGAATGGCCCAGGGGGCCTTAGAATGACCCAAAGGGGGGCCCACAGGGCCAACGAGGGCACTCCATCTCGTCTCGAGCCCCCTCTTGCCGATTGGGGGCAACAAGGGGGACCTTCTGTCTACTCTGCCTCGGCATCCTCTTCTGGCAGCCTGCACCCTCCCTCTCCAGTACCGCTTTCCTCCTCCTCGTCGTTCTCCTCCTCCTCCTCCTCCTCCTCCTCCTCCTCCTCCTCCAGCAGCAAGAGGATGCAGCGAGGCTGGACTGCGGGCTTCCCGCAGCCGTCGATGCCACGAGAACCCTCCAGGGACCGCTCCGAGATAGCCCAGACTCTCCCGGGACACTCGCAGACAGCCTCCAGCCCCAGAGCCCAGAGCCTGCAGTGAACCTGGGAACCTGTCGGTCCCGAATGCGCTCGTGTCGCCTGCGATCGACGGCACGTGTGCGTTCGGGACCAACACCTTGACCTACCAGCCGTGGATTTTCCGCCGGTTTCTCTACTACAATGCAGCGTTCACCGCTCGCCAAAGTGTAGAGCAGTGGCAGCGGACCGGCCCCTCCGGAGCCCTCCCCGTGCGCCCCAGCAAGTTCTGGTCGACTCCAGCGCGGCTCCGAGGCTGCCCCAGGCCGCTCCGAGACGCTCCGAGATGCCTCTCCAGAGGCGCCCTGGAAGCTCAGCAGCCTCCCCCTCGCGCCCACGATGGCCCAAGGCACTCCAACACGCGCCGGCAGGAGCGTCTGAGGAGGGGAAAAAGAGGCATTTCCTCGGGAAAACGAGCCACTTCAAGTTCCTGCTGACGAGGTTCCCTGCCAGCTCCCGATGCGTGCTTCTCCCCGCGCCCTCGCGTTCTTTTCGGCTGCCTCGGGCCCCCTGTCCGGCCCTTCTGGCGCCTCGGGGCCCTCTTCTGGCCCTCCGCGGCCTCCTCCAGGCTCTCTTAGAAGATCTCGGACGCTTCGAAGACAGCCCGAGAGAGGCCTGGGAAGGCCCCACCAGGGGCTCGGCGCTGTTCGTTTTCAGCGCCCCTCAAAACGAACACCTGGTAGCTCTGTTTTGTTCCGTCCTGGCGCCCTCGAGGCATCTCCCGAGACGGCCTTGAAACCGCGAGGAGCCCCATCACGACGACCTTCAAGCCGGGAGGACCTTCCCAAAGGAGCCCAAGAAGATCTCAGACGCTTCGAAGACAGCCCGAGAGAGGCCTGGGAAGGCCCCACCAGGGGCTCGGCACTGTTCGTTTTCAGCGCCCCTCAAAACGAACACCTGGAAGCTCTGTTTTGTTCCGTCCTGGCGCCCTCGAGGCATCTCCCGAGACGGCCTTCAAACCGCGAGGAGCCCCACCACGACGGCCTTCAAGCCGAGAGGACATTCCCAAAGGAGCCTAAGAAGATCTCAGACGCTTCGAGGAGAGCCCGAGAGAGGCCTGGGAAGGCCCCACCAGGGGCTGGGCACTGTTCGTTTTGAGCGCCCCTCAAAACGAACATCGTGACCGCCTGACGGCAGCGCCCCATCACTGCGCAAGTGGACGCAGTCCACGGGTACACCCTAGTAAACTACAATGGCGGGATCAGCGCGTGTGCAAAGGGCGAGCAGTGGCAGCGGGCCTTGGTGCTGCTCAGCGGGATGCGGGAGGCGACGTTGGTTCCAGGTGTCATCAGCTACAACGCTGGGATCAGCGCTTGCGAGAAAGGTGTCCAGTGGCTGCGAGCTCTGTGTCTGCTCAGTGAGATGCGAGGAAATGAGTTGGAGGTCGATGAAATGACGTACAACGCTGGGATCAGCGCGTGCGAAAAAAGCAGGCAGTGGCAGCGAGCTCTGGCGCTGCTCAGCGAGATGTGGGAGGCGAAGTTGGAGCCCGACGTCATCAGTTACAACGCTGGGATCAGTTCGTGCGAGAAAGGCGGACAGTGGCAACAGTCTCTCGCGCTGCTCAGCGGTATGCGGGAGGCGAAGCTAGATCCAGGCGTGATCAGCTATTCCGCTGCGATCAGTGCGTGCGAGAAACGCTCACGTTGGCAGCAGGCTCTGTGTCTGCTCAGCGATATGTTGGATGCCAAGTTGGAACGCGACATCGTCGCCTTCAGCGCTGGGATCAGCGCTTGCAGAACAGGCGACCAGTGGCAGCAGGCCCTGTCGCTGCTCGGCGATATGATAGAGGGGAATTTGGAACCCAATGTCATGTCTTCTACAATGCTGGAACCTCGGCGTGCGAGAAGGTACTGTGCACCAGTGGTTTTGTTTTTCCTCAGAGAGGCCCGTGGAAGCCGCAAAACGCCCCCGGGGCAGCTCCGACGACCCTGCTGGCCTCGGGCCACGCCCCCCATACGGCCCAGCGGAACCCAAAAATGTTTGAAGAGGCGCCCAATACGGCCCCAACGACCCAGGAGGCCCCAAGACCGCCCAAGAAAGTCCCACGAAGCCCCCCAAGAGGGCCCAGAGAAAACCACCATCAATGATTTCCTGTGGCTTTTGAGGGATTTCGACATTCTCGCCTTTTCGGGCTTCCGATGCTTTATGATGGCCCAAGGGCTTCCCAAAATTGCCCCAAGGTGGCCCAACAGGAACCCCCAAGAGGGCCTGCAGGCAGCTCAAGAGGGTTTCAAGGCGTCCCAAGAGGGTCCCAAGACGGCCCCGAGAGGCACCCAGGAGTGCCCGAAGAGGGGGAACTGGAACTAGCATTTTACACCCGCCGCCCCCAGATGGCCCCCGAGACCGCCGGCAGACCCCACGAAAGCCCCCAGAAGCGCCAGGAGGGCCACACGAGGCCCAACTCAGGCCCGAGAGGGCCCCGAGAGGCCCACGACACCTCGCAGCCCGCCTCGCAGAGGCTCTCGAGGGAAGATCCCCTAAGAGAGCTCTTGGACCGCGCCGGCCATCCAAGAGAGCCCCGTCAGCGACCCGAAAGGTTTGCCCACTCGCGCGCCGAGGCCATCGAGACATTCGGGTGCTGGCCTCTCGTCAGACCTCCCCTCTCCCGCCTTTGCTCAGCGCTCCTCGCTCCTCGCTGCTCTCGCCTCGCTCTTCGCCCTTCCCTCCTCGCTCTTGGCTCCTCTCTTCTTACTCCTCCTCGCTCCTTCCACCTTTCTCCTGGCCCCTCCCTTCTCCCACTTCACCACTGGCGTCTGCCGACTCTGTCTCCTCGCTCCTCGCTCCTCTGTCCACTTACGAACTCCAGGTTGCATCAGCTTGCAAGGGTACCAAGAAACAACACTCTGCAGCCTCAAGAAGCAACAGCGAACAATAGCAGTCCGCAGCAAGCAGCGGCAGCACACAGCCCAAGTTCGAAGAAGCAGCAGTATGCCGCAGGCATCAACACCCTGCAGCTGCAGGCAACAATAGCAGAGGCGAAGTTCGGGCCCAACGTCATCACGACTGTCTGTCGGAAACATCTCTGCCCTGGCCCCACCCATCTTGGACATATTACTTGGCCGGTCGGTCCCCAGGCAGCCCTAGTCAGCTATAATGCTGGTATCAGTGCGTGCGAGAAGGGCGAGCAGTGGCAGCAGGCTCTATCGCTGCTCAGAGAGATGTGGGAAAAGAAGTTGGATCCCGACGTCATCACCTTTAGCGCTGGGATCAGCGCGTGCGAGAAAGGCAGGCAGTGGCAGCAGGGTATTTCGCTGCTCAGCGAGATGCGGGAGGCGAAGGTGGAGCCGAACGCCCTTAGCTACGACGCTGGAATCCGCGCGTGCGACAGATGCGGGCGTTTCCAGTAGGTATTGTCGTTGCTCAGCGAGCTGTGGGAGACAAACTGAGAGCCGAAGGTAATTATTCGTTTCTAAACGCAGAGCACGGCGCGTGCAACGCGGGGCACGGCGGGATCGAGTGCTTCCCCCTCCCGCCTCGTCCCCCCCCGCTCCCCAGCACGCCTGTTTGGGCC